GGAATGCAGAGTCAAACTTGGGTTCAAATCTTACCATACTGCCTAGCAACTACTGGATGATGAGGACATGTTAATCTTTCTGAGCCTCAGTTTCTTTATTGATAAAATGGGTACTCTAATAACCCTTCCCTCAAAGGCTCTTCTGAGGAGTTAATACATGCAAAAGGCTTAGCACAGTGCCAGGAAAAAAAAAAATACCCCTTCCCCTGCCCAGCATTGGTCTTAAATGGCCCCTGCAGGCCATCCCAGAGCACAGCACCCACCTGTCAACCTTGTCCTTTGGAACAGCAGACAGACAGCTTGTCTCCTGTAGAAAAGGCACGTGCTTTGGATGTAGATATTTGGATGTGGGTCAGAGGTTTTGCTTGTAATGGAACATGTGGACAGTTAAATAAGATAATAAACCATACACCTCAATATGAAGCCTGGCACATAGTAGACACTCAATAAATGCTAGTATGATATTTAAGAATGTAGAATGTGGGGTCCCAAGGGCTGGATTTGAGGCCCAGTTTACCATTTCCTAACCACATGGCCTGTATAAATGAGTCAATTTCTCTGGATCCCAGTTTCCTTAATTATAACATGGAAATAAGACCTGACTTTTCAGCTTTGGAGGATTATGGTGAAGACCATGAGCTACAGATATGAAAATACTGTTAAGTAAAGGCTTTGAAAGATAAGGCATTATTTCTGCCCTCCTTTGTCACCCGAAAAAAAAAAAAAAGATTAAAATAATAAATTCCTGATCTTGTTAAGTGAAAAAAGTCAGTTCCTTTGAAGAAATCCATAATTCTTCAGGGAGGAGGATGCAGTATTAGCTTGAGTATTAAGGGTAGCAAGGGGTTCAGGGATCAAACGTAGAGCTTGCTGAAGCTATTTTTGCCTCTGCGGGAGGGGTACTGGTGATTGGAAGGGGCAGATGGCTTGACCTTTAACACAAAAATTTTAAAGGGCTGAATGTGGGAGCTTCTAGAAGGGGCAAAGGCATCACACAGGCCCAGCCACCCCCATTCCTACTCACTGTGGCATCAGGCCCAGGCCTCTGGAAGCCACACTTTGAGTTCTGGAATGGAATAATAGGATCAGAGGGATGAGAAGGATAAACCCGTTGCTGATTAGGACGGAGACTGGTCTTCAATGGCCCTGATCAGTTCTATCGCCAGCACTTGAACTTGGATGGCAGCCCAGTGCTAAGACGCTTAGGGAAAGCTGGGTCGTAACTTGAGAAGTACTTTGTGGTTGCTTCTGACAAACAGGAAACACACAGGTGACTTCCCACCAAACCAGCACGGCTGGCACAGACAGGCTGTTCAGAGAGGCAGAGCACAGCACTGTCCGCGTGACCTCTGTACAAACCACTTCCCCTCTGAGTCTCTCTCCTCGTCTCTAAAATGGAGGAAGTCAGTGCTAACCTTCACAGGATGCTGTGAAGTAAGATAATGAGAAGATACTTTGACACTTGTTTAGTGGGCTCTAGGCTAAGGTCTCAAGTACCCTTGTTGCTTTTCCAGAACAGCTAGAGGCAAATGCAGACACCTGGGGACTCTGATTTATGTTAGCCACAGCTGGCCTCCTCAGGCCCCAGGGAAAGGCCTTTAGGGCCCTCAGCACTCTGAGAGAGCAGGGGAGAGAGGGTGCGGGCAGGAGTGAGTACTATACACAGTCCTCATCCTAGAACACAGGCCTGCCCTAGCGGGACTAAATCTGGTAGGACCCAAGCCATCCTAGCCTCTCTCCCCATCTAAACGATAGGCCCTAAGAACCCTCTGCAGTTCAGTGGCTGGGATATCAGTCATTCACTCACTGATTCCCTCATAGGATATAGGATCACAGTGGTCCTACTACGTGCAAAGCAGTTTGGGAATTGGAATAGCAAAGCCACCTCAAAAGAGGCATCTCTAAAGCCAGGAAAGGACAGGTGGGCAAAGCTACGGGTTTATTTGTTGCTGCCTCTACAAGTGGTGTTACTCCCAAATTTAAGGTAAGGAGCAGAAAGACGGTTCCAAGACCCAATGCCAAGAATCGCCCTAAGTCACGTCCATTCTGAGTTAATTTCCGGTACCACGTCTTCTCTCCGGTGGCATGTCCACTAAGGGGGTACTAGGCAGGGTCCTTTGCCATTCAGCCCCTTCCTTTAGTATCCTGGCTCACCTGGCTCAGAGACAGCTTTTAAAGGACAGGCCCTCATTCGGGCACTGACTCTATAAATAACTCAACAACATTACTGGAGGCTGCCCTTTTTCCAGCACCCTCTCTGAGCCAGGCCATTTGACATACTTAGTCTCGTATACTTCATACAACTGTGCAAGGTAGTTTTTGTCAGCCTGGATGAGCCCAGACCAAAAGAGGAAATAAGAGGCCCAAGTTCACAGCAATAGGCAATGGCGGAGCTGGGATTGGTACCTGCAGCTCTACCGTCTCCCAAGCCACCATCCCACCATGCTTTAGTCTTAAAACCACATGGTCTCCCTGCAGGCAGTGAGGATGCCCCGTGAGGTCACTGGAAGAATCCTAGTTGCTGTTCCCCCTATTTTAGGAGCCTATCTTGGTACCTACACTTGAAATCCTTATTCTATTGCAAATATAAGGAAAACGGCCTGACCCAGCCCTTGGTGGTTAGTCAACAGCAGCTGCAATAATAATGACTTAGCATTGCTAGAGCCTTTGATCTATCACCTGATTTAATCTCCCCAAGACCTGGTGCGGTCCTATGAATTATCCCTATTTTGCAGATAAAGAAACAGGCTTCATGAGGTTGAGTCACTTAAGGGTAAGAGATATGAACTTGCTTCCCCAGGGTTACATTTTGCCTAAGCAGATCCGACCTGAAAGTTTCCGTACTCAGAAGCCCATTGACCTTCGCTTGGTCCTGACCCGTCTCCAAGGGCAGAAGTCTGAGTGCAGAAGGAGGGGAAGGAGCCTGGTTTCCCTCCCTCCGCAGGAGGCTGACAGAGCCCCAGGCCGGGTTTCGTTGCTGCTGCTGCTGCTGTGCAGCTCATGCCTGAGAGCTGTCAGCAGGGAGCCCAAACCGAAGGCGCCCGAGCTTTACAGAAAACGTAGCAGCTCCAGGGGCAAGAGCCTCCAGAGGCGGGTGGTAAATATTTGATGGGGCCTCCCAGCTCTTCCTGACTCAGATGACTGGTGACATTTCAGAACATTGGGCTGGAGAACAGTCCTCGGTTAATGAGTGAGCAGGTAGAAGTGGGAAGAGAAGCAGGTAGCTGAGATGCTCTGAGCTCATAAAGGGCCTATGCAGGCAAATTCTGCAAGACTTGGAAAGAAAAGGCTCATTTTCCAAGAATCAAGCCAGATCGCCAGCAAACTAACCAGAAAATGAGCGATTCTGGGCTAATAACCTACCTCTCCACAATGCTAAACTGTAAGCTTCAAAACAGCCCTGGCTGGTTGGCTCAGTGGATAGAGCACCAGTTAGCAGACTGAAGTGTCCCAGGTTGGATTCTTGTTAAGGGCACATACCCCAGCCCTGGTCAGGGCGAGTGTAGGAGGCAACCAATCATTGTTTCTCTCACATCAATATTTCTCTGTGTCTCTCCCACTCCCTTCCACGCTCTCTAAAAATCAATGGGGGACAAGATCCTCGGGTGAGGAAAACAACAACAAAAAAGCACACACATGAAATATCTGGAATCTTGTTCACTGTTGTCTCCGGAGCAATGCCCAATGCCCTGCACCTGCTCACTAATACATAGGCCACTGCAGCGATTCTCCCTCAGTGCGTTGACACACTGACTCTTACAGCTCTGCATCCAGATCTCTGCGACGGAGAACTACTTGCAGCGAACTCAGAGGACTCCCCGCAGGAACAAAGCCACACACTGGAGCCCCATCACCCACCACAGCAGCCCAGTGCAACCAAACCCATGAGCAGCTGCCTTCACTTAGACCTCCACCGGCAGCAGCCGCTGCCAAGTAGTACTTTGAAAAGGAATGTACGGATCTGAAGCAAAACACACACCGTCTCCTTGGAATTGTGATCCAGTGTGGCAAGCCAAGAGCTTAAAACGGCTTCTTTACGCTACTTCCTAGCACAGAAAGGCTCAGCCTCTCCCCCATCCCCCCACACACACCATGCAAACAGCCTGACCAGACCTCTGCATCCTCCCCTGCCCCCCACTTCCCCGCTGCCCCAGAACTCTCTCAAGGCTGCGCAATGAGTTTGATTTAGTTATGGGCTCAGAACCAGAGGCTATCCTGGTTTTGCTCAGTTCACGGGTTTCTTTCCGCCGAGCCTCTCCCCAGCAGCACACCCTCAAACTAGATTATGACAAGGGAGAGTTTTTAAAGGGTAGTTGCCCAGCTGCCCCCGACCCTTGAGAGAAAGGCCTAGAGGAAACCAAAGGAGCCACTGCTGACTCCTTAGTGACCTTTCTGACCCTAGAATGCACACCACCTCGAGCTAGGAGTCTGCGTACTGTTCACGTCCTCTGACTCACAACTGCCCAACTGCCATCCTGATGGCATCCCTGAACCACCTCCTTCAGACACCCCAAAGTTCCGGTTTGAGCAATGGTCTGCACAGCCTCATACCTACAGACACTCTCTCCTCTGTTTTAGCTCCCCCAGTTTCCCCAGGTCTCTGTGGCCACCACAGGCCATGGTTAGGTCCTTCCTCCCCACGGTCCCCCACTCCTGACTACAGGACTCCAAACCCTTTGCTCTCCTGAGTTGCTCACTGATGTTCTTGGCCAGAGTCCAGAGGAGTGGGTTTCGCGCCCCCTGCTCAGAGCGCCCCTCCGTGGCCCCCTAATCTCCAGGCGGCTTGCGGAGGTCCATTCCCTACCAGGACCGGCCTCTCTGGCAGGGAAGGCGGCTTCGCAGTGGACAGCGCCCGGGTGCTGAACCAGGCGCCGGGAGGAAAGCGCAGGCAGGGATGCGGCAGGAGGACGGCGGTGGGTGCGCAGCCCGCGGCAGGGTCCCGAGCGCCTCTCCAGCGAGCACGGACGGACGGACGGACGGACGGGAGGAGCGGCCCTTACCTGGCCGAAGGCGGAGCTGAGCATGGGGTGCAGCCGGCGGAGGAACGGGTCTGCCTCGGGCGCGGCAGCTGGAGCGGAGACCCCGCGACTAGGGGCTCCCTGCGCGCACCGGAGGCCGAGCGCCGGGGACAGCCCCCCTTCCCGCCCATCCCGCCCGCGGGCCGGCGGCAGCGGCGACTGCGGAGAAGGGCGGGACGCCGCGGCCGCCCGCAGCGCCTCCCGGGGCCTGCAGTGTGCCGGGGGCAGCCCGCAGCGGCTTCCCCGCACGCCCTCCTCTCGCGGCGCCGGCCGGCACAGGGGCCTCCGCAAGCTGGGGTCCCCGGACGGCGGCGGCGTGCCAGGGCAGGTGCCGGGCAGCCGGCGGCTGGGCAGCCCTGGCTCCCGGGCCGGGCCCTGGCGGGGAACCCGGCTGCCCCCGCTCGTCGCAGCCGCCTTCAGCAGCGACGTCTTGGACTCGCTCTTGGCGATGTGCGAGCTCATCGCAGCGGGGCCGGCGTTCGCATGGCCGGGCAGCGGGGTCGCCGGGCGGCACCGAGCGGGCCCTCCGGGGGGCAGAGAGCAGGGCGTCCGGCGGGAGCCGAGCCCGAGGACGCGCTGGAGGCGGGCGCCGTACCCGGGCCGCTTAAATGCGGCTCCGACTCCGCCACCCATGTGATAGCGCAGCCTCTACCCCGGAGTCCCGAGCGGCCAGGCGGCTGGCGGTCCGGATCCGCGGGGGTGCCCGCCGGCTGTCCCGGAGCCCGCCCCCAGCTGCGGGCCCAGGTGCTGCTCGCCCCGCCCCTCGCCCCGCCCCGCGCGGAGGAGCCTCGCCTGCGGGCGGCCCCTGGCGGCTTAGGAGGCGCTGCGGCGGAGCAGGGAGCACAGGGAAGGGGTGTAGAGAAGGGCCCCAAAGATGTCCCGTATTTGGTATCGCCGGAACTGACCCTTAGCACGCCTGGACGCCGCACAGGAACCGGAACCCTCGGAACCTCAAGAACTGCAGGCGGGTGCACTCCCCAGGGGACACAACTTTGGGACGGAGGATGAGGTGCAGTGCGCTAAGAGTCAAGGACAATGAAGCACTATGACATCACCGCTTACAAACAAGAATCCAGAATGACGTGGACGGGCAGGCTCCGCTCTTCATCAAGTCCCAGGATCACGGAGTGGGGCCTGGATGACCTGGTAAATCAGCCACAGAACTCTCAGTTCTCAGAACAGAAGCCAGGTGCATGTTTAACCTGGATTTGCAGGTCTGGTGATGATCAAGTCTCAGGTAGGAGCCATGTGCTGCCCTCAGCTCCTGTGTCCCTCTTCTTGTCCTTCTGACAGAGAAATCTTTGCTCTTGGTATTGGTAGGCAGCCAGGGAGTCACAGAGGCCTGGTTTTAATCTCCAATCCCAGCTCTGCCACTTATCATCTGGGTCACTTGGCAAGTGTCATCACCTCTCTGAACCTCCTTTGCCTCTTCTGTTAAATGCAGGCCGAGCCCCGCTCAGCACAGTGAAGCTAGTTCCCTTCCCTCCGCACCTTCTGAGGACCCACCCACCACTCTTGTTTAGTGATAGGAGACGAGAGTTAAAGGGGTTTGGGGATGAACTTCCCAGGCTCTGCCTGTTCTCGTCTCTGGCCCTGATGCCACCCATGCATGAGAATAAGGCAAGTCTGGTCACCACTCAGCCTCAATAGGGCAGGTGTGCTCACCCTTTTCTCCACTGCCCTCTTCTGGTACATACCCAGATGCAATGAATTAAAAAAAAAAACAGGATGGGCCTGGCCAGTATGGCACAGTGGATAGCCTGCAAACTGAAGGATCCCGAGTTCGATTCTGTCAGGGCATATGCCCAGGTTGTGAGCTCAATTCCTAGTGGGGTCATGCAGAAGGCAGCTGATCAATGATTCTCATCACTATGTTTCTATCTCTCTCTCCTATTGTCTGAAGTCAATAAAAACACACTTAAAAAAAATAGGATGTGTGGGGAAAACAATGCCCAGAGGCTAAAGTGAACAGGAGAAGCATGGCAGATTGTTCCCCGGCTCCCCCACTACAAGGGACTAAACTGTGTCTCCAAGCTGCTCAGGTGCCCATCGCACAAATACGGAGGCAGGCTGGGTGCCACTGCCCTGACGCCTCAGTGCCACATGCACTCGGATTGAAGGTTGGAAAGATTGCCCCCTCCTCCTCAGAGTCTGAGGTCAATCAGTGTCTCACCTGTTCCGGCTTCGGAGTAATCTGTGTTGGGCAGGATTAACAACAAATGTACATTCCGTGTAAATCCAGGAGATAAAGTCCCTATCAGAATCCCCCAGGAGCTGATGCGATGCAATGGGATGAAGGTATTGTTAATCCCTGCTGTGCACTAGAGGTTATCTTTCTGAAATTCCCTAAATAGTCTTGGGCAAGATCTCTGACAGTAACTGATTCCTGGAAAAGTGAAAACCCTGCTTACATCACCTATGAAATTTGAGAAAATAAATCAAGATTATGTTCATGGAGCAAATGAATGAGGCATGTGCACACAGATCCTGGATGTGTGCCAAGATTCCATTTCATTTATAAATGTGTTAATTTGGTCATTCACTAACAAATATTTCTAGAACTAGGCACTGTGTTAGATACCGAGGAGCAAAGACATACCCAGTCATACAATAAACACTTGAGTGACTGTTATTTATCAGGCACTGACCTAGGCACCATGGGCATACATGGTGATGAGCAAAACAAGTCTCCAGCCTCAGCAACAAATAACTCTATAAACGCACAGAAAATTAATGGTGACAAACGGAGGCATGTCGTGCTGGGAGGAGAAGTAAAGCAGGCAGGAGAGGAGGGCTGAATGGTGAGTGCTGCTTTAGACAGTGATTAGGGAGGGCCTCTCTGAAGAGCGGACCTTTGAGCAGAGACCACAGTGAAAGAAGGGAGCAAGCCATTCATGTACCGTGTTTCCCCGAAAATAAGACATCCTCTGAAAATAAGACCTAGCGCATGGAAAGATAAGACATACCCTGAAAATAAGACCTGGGGCAACTTTGGGAGAAAAAATTAATATAAGACACTGTCTTATTTTCAGGGAAACAGGGTATCAGGGAAGAGCTTTCCTGGCAAAGAGGAGGCAGTCCGTAAGACAGTTCAGAGGAGGGAACATCTCGGCATATTCAAGGAGAAGCAGAGAGACAATGAGGCTGGACTGAGCAAGAGGGGAGGGGTGGGAGAGATGAAACTGGAGAGGAAAGCACAGGCCAGAGCCAGAGCGCCATGCCCGCACCCGAGTCTGAAGGGAAGCCACCAGCAGGTGTGTGGTAGAGGAGAGGCATATGGCTGTTTACAGTCAGAGGATCACTGGCTGCTTCACAGCAAGGCCGCTGCGGGACGGCAGTGTGGCAATACGGAGCCAGTCAGGTGCTGTCACATGGAACAGCTGAGAGAGAGTGACAGTGAGGCGGGTGGGAGGACTGACCAGATTCAGGAGATATGTAAAGAATTACAGTAAGACTTAGTCCCTGCTCTCAAGGAATTTGAAACAGCAACAGCAAATAACAAAACCCACCATGATATAATGGGAATGACATGCTAGGTCACATGGAATCACCAATGCAGAACCTCGAGGGGAGTTGGAGAAGGCTCAGAGACTGAGTGACATTTGAGCTGCATTTTGAAGAAGTGAAAGTCCACCGGATGAATAAGGAAGGGAAAAGGAAGGTCACTTCAGACAGAGGGAACTGCTCAAGGGAGGCTTGGGAGTGAGACTGCATAATGTGTGTGGGAACTTTTAGGGCCTGGGAGGAGGGGTTATGAAAGTCAAGCAGAGAAAGATGGTTGGAACCAGACTGTGAAGGATCCTGAAGGTGATATTCAGGAGTTTATCCTTTTTTCTATAAACAACAGTCCTTGAAGGCTTTATCAGTGTATTGTTGAAGATAATGCTGACTTATTATGGAGTAGACTAGAAGGATGTTGAAGACAAAATCAATTAGGAAATTAGGTTCATTCATTTAACAACACTGTCTGAGTGCCCACCATGTGGCAGGCACTGGAAACAGAGCAGTAAATAAGTAAACACGGTGCCTTTCTTTACGGATTTCCAGTCTGATGTGGAGATAAGAACAATGTAGAGGCTGGGCCAGACTCAGGAATGCCATCATTAAGGCAAAGAAAGTCTTGGGTATGGAAATGCGAACGGCTTGCCTCTCTGTGAGCTATAATGGGAATATACCTGCAAAGTGTCCTGCCACGCATGTAGAAACAACTTTTAAATAATGTTTGTGGGTTGTATATACCTTTATAGCTTTAAAAGCATTTTCACATAAGCCTTTCATTTGCCTTTAAGTGTTACACAAATTGTAATTATTTTTTTTTAATTTTTTAAAATATATTTTATTGATTTTTTACAGAGAGGAAGGGAGAGAGATAGAGATCTAGAAACGTCGATGAGAGAGAAACAACGACCAGCTGCCTCTTGCACACCCCCCACCGGGGATGCGCCCGCAACCAAAGTACATGCCCTTGACCAGAATCGAATCCGGGACCTTTCAGTCCGCAGGCCGATGCTCTACCACTGAGCCAAACCGGTTTCGGCCACAAATTGTAATTATTAAACAACTGTCATTATTTGACTATATAACCTTGCAGATGCTGGAAAGATATCCCTGTAGATTAATAAAATGAAGAAGATGGACCTGGGACCACATCATCGGTCCAGAGAGAACAGTGTCTAGCTGTCTTCATGTCTCCTTCCTAAGAGAATCCATTCAGGAGTAAGACAGGGTTAAGGACAAAATTCCTAAAATGTACAGGGCGGTCTCATTGAACAGATCTGTTTAATAATGTCACGGCCCTGCAGCAAACTCCTTTAAAAACCGATCTTTCCTGGCCAGTAGTACTGTACATCGTGTTTAGAGTCTTGAAAAAGGTTGTGGAGCATTCGCACGCTGGTGCTTGAATTAATTCTCTGTGATGTTTCTGGTGTAGCTGGTCCTTTCTGCTGTTCTCAGAACCAAATTCTGCACTAATCTTTCCCTTGTTTTCAGATGACAAAATCTCTGTTAGGTTTCAGAAAGCTGGGATTACAAAATGTTCTTATGGCTTTAAGCCCTCTGTGGTGATTGGGGAATTCAGAAAAAGACTAGATAAAAATAATTTGTCAGGGGGGAGTGGGGAGGGGCAGGGGTGGGACAGTCAGTGGACTGAATAGGGGATTCCTTTCCAGAAATCTGCCTTTGGGCCCAAATGTTCACCATTTAAGAGGATTCCAAGATTTTAAAAATAAAATGCAAAGGGATGTGGATTACAGAATATATGCATGTCGCCGAAACCGGTTTGGCTCAGTGGTAGAGCATCAGTCTGCGGACTGAAAGGTCCCAGGTTCGATTCCAATGAAGGGCATGTACGTTGGTTGCGGGCACATTCCCGATAGGGAGTGTGCAAGAGGCAACTGGTCGATGTTTCTCTCTCATCGACGTTTCTTTCTCTCCCACTCCCTTCCTCTCTGTAAAAGACCAATAAATATATATTTAAAAAAAGAATATATGCATGTGTCAAAATTGAACTCTAGGCCAGCCACTGTAGCTCAATGGTTGAGCGTTAGCCTATGAACCAGGAGGTCATGGTTTGATTCCATCAGGGCACATGCCCAGGTTGCAGGCTCAATCCCCAGTGTGGGGCGTTGGAAGGC